TGTTGATCCTCGGGCCGGATTGCAATCTGATGGTGCCCGGACTTCAGATCTATCTTACTGAAGTACTGACACCCTTTCACTCTATCTAGCAAGTCGTCGATGCGCGGTAGGGGCTCTTTGTTCTTCACAGTGATGGCATTGAGGCCCCTATAGTCCATGCACATCCTAAATGTTCCTTCTTCTTCGATACAAATAGGACTGGTGAACCATAAGGAGAAACACTCGGCCGGATCCAACCCTTTTCTACGAGTTCCTTGAGTTGTCGGCGAAGCTCATCAAGCTCACCTGGAGACATCCGATAGATCCTACCCTTGGGGATGCTAGACCCTGGGATAATTTCTATCGCGTGGATGACCTCCCTCTCAACAACCCCTTGTCGGCTCTTCAAATAGATTACGGTATTTAGCAACTACTCCCTCTATCTCCGACGGCATTTTCACCGGCTCGCCTTCAGCAGAGACATAAACTAGATACATACCACCCTCCTGATTTTGCTTATAGTAATTATAGAACGTGGCCGCACACATGCATCCGTGGGACTCGATCAGACTACTAGCATTGAACTTACGTAATTTGGCGGTCTCCCCACCTGGCAAAGTGTGTTTGACCACTTTTCGGTCCCAGTCAAACTGGGGTTGTGCCATAGAGAGGTAGTACATACCTAACAACATATCCATGGGGAGTTCATCGCTCACTAAGAACGAGACGCGATGTCTCAGTTCCCCTCCCGCGTACGGGAAACAACACTCGACATCTTGGAGGTAGTCATTGACTACCATGCACTGTTTGTTGGCACAGGTCGACTTAGGCGCTGCACTTGCCCCTGTAAGAGCAGCCTCTCAACGCATGCACGACTAATGAAGTTTTGTGTCGAGCAAGTGTCATAATAGGCCCCTGCCTTGCGGCCGCCAATGACCACCTTGCTGACGAACATCTCACCCTTAGGGGCTTTGACTAATGTCGTCCAAGAAGCTAGTGGGTCTGACCTAGACCACTCATCCTCTAGCTCCTCTAACGACTCGAACACATTTATCGAACAGAGGGTCAATGGGTCTGAATGTGTTTGCGGGATGACGGTGGAGTCAGTAGCTTGGGCCATCTCTCGAGATGGTGAGGGTATGTCCACCACCTCGACCCTAGCAGGAACAACTACTATTCCTACTGGCCCCACATGTTTCCCGGAGCAGTGCCTAAAGTGCTGGCAACATTGCTACCAACGGAAGGAGAGGATCCTACCGCCCGCCCCATTGTAGGCGGGATATTCTCGGTCACCTTCTTATTTTGGCACTTGAATTGGTTATGGCCATATTGGCCACAACGGATACAAGCCTGCCGTGTGTACCGATCTCTCCACACATCCTCAGTGAGACCCGCTTTCTCCCATGAAGGAGCATTGGGGTCAACTTGACTCCTAGACCAGGAACCTCCACGGCGTCTACCGGTCGCCTTACCTTTTTGTGCTACGACAGCGACTACTCCTTCCCCTGAAGCTTCTACGCTGCCAGCCTCTGAACCTACTCCCTCCTGGAAGTTGTCATCTAATTCGATGGTTGAACCATCGTTATCGACGAACATGATCCGGCCCTTCGCCTTCCAGTTGGGAGGCAGTGTCTTCTTCCTACCATCCGTCGTGGGGTTATGTCCATGCCCTATCTTCACCTCAAGGTCTATGGCCTTCTTACTGAACGAGGGAAAGTTGTGCATATTGATGTTGGYCTTACCTGCCAACTGATTCCTGAGAGGCATGGGAAAACAACTCAGGTTGGAGGTGAGTAATACCTGGGGGTCATAGCGAGCCCCAGGGACACAGATCAAACGCTGTACAGCGTCAGTGGCCTCCCTTACTGACTTGAACTACCTCGTGTGCAGTGTCAGGATCGCATCAATGGCCTTTTGGGCCTCCTGAGGATCATGCCACCTGTCTTCCACCAACTTGAGAAAGTCATCCAGTTTCTGGGTGATTGCCCAAGCGCGGAAGTCATGACCATACCCCTGCAGCTGCACTAAACCACTCAACCATCGTGATGYACTACCCTCTAGATAGGATGCAGCCACAAGCACTTCCTCGTGCGGCGAGGTAAGTTTACACTTCACATAGACCGACACTGCCCTCAACCAAGTGTCAAGGTCTTCGCCCCTCTTATCCCCTGTGAAGGGTTTAGGAGCGGCGACGRCCGTCTTTGGTACCCACTGASTTTGTCCCGGTCCCTGCATCACTCCGGGTTGTGGACCCAGYGGTGCAGGCTGCTGCACTAACTGCTGGGGTTGTGTGCCCTGCGGATGTACAGGCTGCGAGACAGCAGGTTGCACGCTTACTGCAACCTGCGACGGAGGTTGGGTGAACACTGTCTGTACAAGAACCTGCAAACTAGGACCTGCTGAGAACCCTCCTGATAACGGCATGCCCAGGGAAACGGTATGGACCAATGCTGGGGCTGTATATGGGGATACCCCGGTCACCGGTGGGACAAAAGGAGGAGGATGTGCAACGGGCCAGGCACCT